CCCATAAGAAAAGTCAAATTGAACTCCAGTGTCGGACGAGTAACTCCATAACGAGAACATTTGAAGAACAACTCATTCAGTCGATCATAATATGATTCAATTGACTCACCTTCCTTCTGCTTGAACTCACCTAACTCCAACAAACTATGTGTGACTGAACTTTTCTTTGTCTTCTGGTTACCTTGATACTTTTCCTTTAGAGTGTCCTAAATTTTCTTTGCAGTAGAACACCCACGAACATAGTTGTACACTACTGGTGGAAGCTCCACGTAGTTCACGCATACACTTCTTGTCATTTGCTTACATCTTGTTTCCTTGTGTAATCATATCTTCATCAGTTGCAGCAGTTCCAACAATGATTAACATCTCCGAAAGAAATGGACAACCAAATAAAGCAAAAAACTATAAAAACTTGTGAACATTATGTTGACGTTTTCAAAATACATGTATTCTCAGGGAGATGAGTGTAGAGGATACTCGTGTCAAGAAGGATGTCTTCACGGAAGCTTGCTGAAGTTTATTTCCATCTGTTTGTTATTTTTAGATATGTCCAAAACGTGTGCTTGATCTATTAAACAAAGTAATCCCAAATAAATTATAATAAATAAAAATATCATTTGTGATATACTTTTGTGCTATGTTCTTACTATATATAGCTGTATGCCTCGATCCAATATCCCTACGTCGTATAGCCCGACGTTTCCGTCGCCGGCCGGGGGTGTGATAATTTTTTAAGTAAAATATGAGTTTTGGGTGGGTCACGACGTGAGGGAAGCATCATCACATCGTGACATGGTCATGAGAAATGGGAGTATCATTTAAGTGACATGACGTGACACTATGATGATCACGACGTGACACCTGATCAAGGGCAAACCCTAATTTTTGGACTTAGACCCTATTTACAGGAAGTGAGGGGCTAGGGTTTTATTCACCCTCATCCTCCATCACCTCCTAAAACCTCTTGAAGAAACCCTAATCCCTCTCCTTAAATTTTGAGTTCACCTTAGTGTTTTTGGTTGCTTTTGAAGGAATAAGAAGGTCTTGGTAGTGTTGTGAGCATATTAGCAAGCTTTGGGACTTCATTTGGGTATCTATGGACCTTTGTAAGTGTTTATGACCTAAAATTTATTGCTCTAGGTTGCTAGATCTAAGAATTTGTCCCTTTATCTTTAAGTTTGAGAAAGATGAATTGGTGGGATTCCATAAAGTTGGAAACTTTATGGATCCTTGAGGTCCTTTGTATATCATATGCTTCAGATCTGGAATTTGATAGTGTATCTAGCCCATACACGAGATTTGTGGTGATGTTTCTCCATTTTTGACCTAGTTTGGGCTTTAGACTCACAATGGACATGCATGGTTGAAAAGCATCGATCTTTAGGTTGTTTTGAACGTTAGGAAGCCTTTTGGAAGGAATGAGTGCATAACGCAACGAATAGAGGGCTATCTATTAAGTTGTGGAAAGCCCAGTTTCACGACGTAATAACTTCCTTGTCACGACGTGACGATTAGGGAATTTCCCGGTTATTTTGGACAAAATTTGTCACGACGTGACGATAGCTTGGATCGAGACTGAGTTGGCTGAGTTGGGACCAGGTTGAGTGCGTTTCTCACGACGTGACCATGGGTTGGTCACGATGTGAGGGTCAACTGATGGAAATGTTGGCTGTTGACTTTGACCTTGACCGTTGACTTGTTGACATGGGTTGACTTTTGGTCAAATTGCTAGTTATAGAGTATAGACTAAGGTTGGAACTTGTTTGATTCGATAGGTGTGTTGTAGCACCGATTGCGTGGCATTGAGCTGTGGTTTATCTGACTTCGTGATACATACGAGTCTTCTCACTATACTATGTAGGTTGCTAGATTGTCTCTATGACTCTTGCATGAAAGAATGTGGTTGGATCACAACACTTGTATGAAAGACTGTGGTTGAATCACAACACTTGTATGAAAGACTATAGTTGGATAACAACACTTGTATGAAAGACTGTGGTTAGATCACAGCACTTGTTTGTCTTTGTGACTTGCATGGAAGACCATGGTTGGATCATGACAGAAAGGTTACGGTTGGGCTGTAATCTGGGAGTGAATGTACGACTATGGTTGGATCATAGCGTTCACGTAGGGTTGGGCCCATTGATATGTATGATATGTGGTATTTTGGGGAACTCACTAAGATTTGTGCTTATAGTTTTGTGGTTTAAACATATTCAGGTGCTTCGAGTTCCAAAAGGAAGAGTCCGACTTGACTGCATAACATCCCTTGACGATTTTCCACATTGATGATTGTTATTTTACTCTGATGATTGTGATACGTTTGATTATGGTTGATTTTGGAAGAAATATTGTGTAAACTTGATGATTTAAAAATAAAAAATTTTATTGGTATTTTTGGGATGTTACACATAAACTATCTCTTTATTTATATATTTTTTCATCTTTAAGATATGGAAACCTAAACCAAAAAACTCATTTGCCGACAATATATACCGCCGACCATCATATCCCTCCGTCTTCTACCCATATTCTCGTCGTCATGTGTATATCAGCGATTCAAACAAAGAACAAATTTGGATTTGAGTTCCATACCCCTATTCCAGGGATGGTCCAAGCGAATTTAGGGCTCATGGTGAAAGAAACAATGAGGCTCCTTTAAAGAAAACGAAAAATTATAGTAATATAACTACGATTAAAAGTTCGTTTATAGATACAATATACAATACCTTTTGCATTCTAATATCTACAAATAAGATAGTCTATATGCCTTTATATATCCACAATAAGCCTTTTGATCACACCACACAAAGCTAGTGGTGTGATCTAAACCTATACGTAATCTAATGACATTACATGTAAAAAGAAACCACATTGTAAAATTTTGTATTTAATATTAAATCTTAGTCGAGAAAGGATAGTTCAATGACTATGCTTTGTTTTCCAGATTCCTGTCAACATAGTACAAATACTCTTAAGGGATCTAAAAACTGACAATTTTAAAGAAAACACAAGTAATGATTTCCTCATTTCTGTCAACATAATACAAATACTCATAAGGGAACTAAAAACTTATAATAATAAATGAAAAAACAAGTAATCAAATAACATACAGTAAAGACAAAAAAAAAAATAAAAAAACATAATAAAACTTCCAAATACACTTTTACACAAAAACTTATATTCTAAAAGTAAAGAACTAGGATCACACCATACTCACATAACTTTTTTTTTATTATTGTTTTGAATAATCATCAAAGAACAAAAACAAAAACTTACAAAGTAACCGTTGGTGTTGAAAATTTAAATTTTATTATCCAGAAATAAAGTGACAATAAAAAATTCAAAATCAATTTAATGCTTGCAAGAGTATAGAGATGAAATATTTCAAAGTTACATGAGAACTGAAAAACTAGAAACAAAGATGAAAGAATGAGATACCATAGGAGCAAGAGCCAAAAGAGGCGGATACACTAGCTCGGTTTGGAAATCAGAATAACATATCCAAGTACGTTTATTACTAAAGTGCATATATATATATATATATATATATATATATATATATATATATATATATATAAACCATAACTTTAAGGGGCTCAGAGGTTTAGCGAGGAGGCCTAGGGCGGTAACCCAACTTGCCTTGCCCCATGGTGCGGTCGTACCCTATTCTCGTCGTCATTTGTATATCATCGATTCAAACAAATAACAAATTTGGATTTGAGTTCCAACCTTACATGTTGAATTTCTGATGAAGATCCAAATATTTTTATTTCGAAATTTGGGGATTTTTGGTATGCATTATCATGGAGGAACTACTCCCATTGTTGAAACTCTCGACGAAATCGACCTAAGTCCAAGATCTCAAGACGGCGAATGATGCTCTCCGATTTTAGATATGCCAACAATTGTATTTCTCCTTTAGATTTGTCTATTAGTCCAAGCCTTCATAGTGTTTCCAGAAATTTGGTGTTCCTCGCGTTCGTAGTGATCTAGAAACTTTATCCCTATGGATTTTGATTTTTATCTGCAGGATCGATGGGTAAAAGAGGGGGGGGGGGGAAGCATGTCTCTTTTATTCATTTAGTTAGGGATGTCAACGGGGGCAAACGGGACGGGAAGTGCACCCCCCCCCTCTGAAATTTCCCCGTTCCCCCGCCATCAAAATGTTCAACCTTTCTACCCCCACCCCCACCTCGCCCCCAAATCCCCCTTATTACCCCAGCCCTCGCCCCCGATTGATTTTGGGTTGTCTTTTTTTGGGTTAAAAGAAGTTGTTGCTTGAGCTAAAAAAACTATTTTTAGGTAACAAATAATTATTTATAGTAGAAATTTACATGTTAAAAATAATAAATTTATGACATCTTAAAAACATTATACTAGCAACTTAAAAATATGTTTTTGTTGAATTTTAGAAGCTTAAAATCATGTTATTGTTTATTATATTTATATAATTAATATATGTAAGTAAATGTATAATTTACGAACTGGGTCCCCATGAGGGTTTCGAGATCGGACTGCCCACCTCTGCCCCGCCTCGGAAATTAAAATGGGGGTTAACCTTACCCCAAGCCCTGATTTTTTTTAATAAATACCCCTAAACGAGACAGGGCCCCCATGGGAACGGGGTCCCACAAGACTTTTTGGCATCTCTACATTTAGTCGGTCGGCTTTCTTTTTTGGGTGGACCGAGTTAGCCATTTTTATGGACCGAGTAAGTGCTATGTGTTGGGTCAGATACAAATCAAACACTTTGACCGGACCGAGTCAGACAAAAACGTTTGACCAGACCCAGTCAACACAAAATCAGACAACCACCTTTTTATTTGGTTTTTCTGGCTTGGATAACATCCCTATCACAAACACCCCTTATTTCATTAAATATTTTATAATCCATTCAAATAAATTGTCTACCGATATTAAAAGTTATTTATTTCATTACTAGGTGTAACTGTTGTAACATATCCTAACAACAAAAAATATCCCGTATTGTTATGGAATTTTCTCAATCCCTTTTATATCGCAGAATTGGTAGTATCAAAGATACCGACGATTCGCAATTTCAAAAGTTCAAAAGTTGAGACTTATTTCACTAATCGTCTGGGTGTTTTCCTATTTGGAAGCCCAGAGAAACGGGTCAAGTACACACGAAACCAGAAACCGTCCCACTTCGTCGCTTATTATTCTACGAACGGGAAAGGGAAAAGAAAGAAAAGCAGAGGGAGGGATCTATACAAATCTGAAATTAGTTTTGAGTAAGAGATTGTGAATATGTCTGGATACAGAGCTGAGGATGACTACGATTACCTTTTCAAGGTGGTTTTGATTGGCGACTCCGGTGTTGGAAAATCCAACTTACTTTCACGATTCACTAGGAATGAGTTTAGCCTCGAGTCCAAATCCACCATCGGTGTTGAGTTCGCTACAAGAAGCTTGAATGTTGATAGCAAGGTCATCAAAGCTCAGATTTGGGATACTGCTGGACAAGAAAGGTATAATTTCTCTCATTTTTACTCAGATCTTGCTTTTCCCTTCTCTTTTTGTTTTTGATTTTTGATTTCTGATTTAGGTTTATATTTGAATTTCGGTTTTGGTCTATTAGGTTCTCTTGATGAAGTTAAGCAAACAGTAGTAATATGACTTGGTAGGATTTAATTGGTGTAGAGTAGATTGAAAGATGTGATGAACATCTTGAATTAAAAATCAGATTGAATATTCATTGTGATTCTGCTTAAAACTTCGATTATCTTTCATCCTTATTGTATAAGTAATAAGAGTAAATTTAATAATTTTAAGATCACTAAAATTCTTATACACCAGAATATCTTATCTGACTGTAAGTTGTTTCCATTTGTAGTTTTAACATCTGTTCAACAATGTATTTTATTATATATGATTCTTTTAAATATGGGGATACAGATATTTGGCTATTTGAATATATAAAAACAATACATATATTGTATAAATCAAAATCTGTTAACATGTGCCAAATATGGATGCGAATGTTACGTTTTGTGATAATGTACTTAATGGGGACATTACTTAATCCCGTAAGCTATATATGAGTGTTTCTTTTTTACTTAATGCAGAAAGAATGACTTAATAGAGAAGGTCACGGAAATGAGGCTTTCTCATTAGGTCCTAACCTTTTTTTAGAATTCCCCTAATTTATTTTCTCCTTCCAATATCAAAGTATGCTGTCATTTTCTCAAATATACATCTATTTTAAAAAAAAACATTTCTCTAGATGACACTTTATCCAACATTTAAAGGGGGAAAAGCATGTTATTATATGTTATATGGTATGCTTGCCAAACTCCATTTCCATGGGTTCAATACTTTAATTGAAAATGGAGCAAAATCACTAGGTGATTTGAACACCCATTCCAATTTTCAAATATAAAAGAATAATTTATTTTGAATTTAGTTTTTTGATTGAATTGTAGGTTTTGGTCTTTGATTCAATTTTGAATGTATGCTTCAGTTACCCTGATCTTTCCAAGTCTTGGCAGCATGTTGATATAATTATATACTGAATAAGGCATTTACTACTCTTGGTAAGTAGAGTTAGATGCAAACATTATTTTTAGTTGGATACTATGGTTGCTGATATTGATAGGCATAGAGCCCCAATGGTGGTATTCACCTTGTAACCAATAGAAATAACTGGCCACATGACGCAATTTTTAGCATTTTTATTAAAAACTTGGTCTTCTCTCTCTCTCTCTCTCTCTCTCTCTCTCTCTCCTGGTACATTTATTAAAGGTCTGTCTTTTTCATATAAAGTGTTTTGCATTCACATGATTAAAACTCTTATAGATGCTAAAGAGGCCTTTGGTTGATGGATCTTGTGTGATTGATCGGATTCGGAATTGAAAATTATCCAATTTTACAAATGAGTCAGGAAATGGTTTTTCGGTGGTATTCACAAAATCTTTAGACATACGGATTTCAACATTTCCTTAAAAAGCCAATGGAATTCAGTTCTAAGCATTTCTTCCTTGTTAAAAACTAGTCCAACACTCTTTTATTTTTTAAAGGGGTAATTGTAATTTTTTACCCAAAAATAGTTTTAAAAAAGTAGGTGTAACAAAATTTTTAAGATAAGTATTCTTCAAAATTAGTATTTCCTACCTAGTATTGTAATTGTACTAAAGATAGTTTGTTGAAAAATATTCTGCAAAAATGAAATTCAGTATGTAAATATTTCTGCAAGTATTTAAATTTATCTTCAAACATGTATTTATAAAACGAACAGTAATTTACAAGCAAAAAAACCAATAAAGGGATATTTGAATATTCAGATTTTTTTTTAATTTTTTTAATTTTTATTTTTATTTAAAAATCTAAAAGTAGTTCTAGTACAATTTCAAAAAAAAAAAATCTTCTAAAAAAGATAGCATTCCATGATTGCATCCTGATATGTACTAAAAAACGTTTTAAAAAAATTTCTTGAAAAGTTTTAATAAAAAAGGCAATTTAGATATTTTGCAATTACTTATAGTTTATTTTCAAATATCTGTTTATGATACAAAAAATAATTTACAGAGAAATCAATAGAGGTTGAGTTAAATATTAAATTTTTTTTTTAATACATGAACGTAGTTTAAAAGAAAAATAGTTCTGACTAAACTCTTGTAAATAAATGTTTTCAAAGAACTAGCATTTTCATCCTAATATGTTTTAAAAGTAGTTTTGAAAACATCAGTGAATAATAAATGAAAGAAGGGTGATTTACATATTTTTGCAAGTATTTATAACTTATTTTCAAATATGTATATTAAATACTAAGGGGCTCAGTTTTTATTATACAAAAATTCAATAAATAACAATCTGAATATTCATAATTTACGTTTTTTTTTACATAGAAATAGTTTCAAAATAGTAGATATAGTAATTTTTTTTTTCAAAAAATGCATTTCGATCATAAATGTTTTTTTTAAAAGTTCTGTCAGTAAGAAATTAATAAAAGAGTGATTTTATATATATATATATATATATATATATATATATATATATATATATATATATATATATATATGCATGTGTTTCTATTTATTTTAAAGCTGCCACTACCAAAGCAACAAAAATTTACAGAAAAAAATAGAAAATGGGGATTCTGACATTTATCATGCTTACATACCAAATCCTATCGTGTGACATGTTCCTTTCTATTCCCTTTTTAATGAAATACATGTGTTTTATAGATTCTAGTTATTATAACTAGCGGTAGATTCTTAAACATTCAGAAAAGGTAAAATAGGTTTTTATGCTCAAGTGGTAGTAATGGTTGCTACTTGTTTTTCTTATAGGGTGTTACTAATTAGTCTGTGTTATGAGCTCTTTTGTTATCTAAGTCAGTGTCGAAAGGGTAGGATCCTGAACTGTTGGTGGGATATACAAAAAAGAATAAGGTAGTGTTTGTTTTTTGTTTGCAGATCTGCGTGACCTCTTCTGTCTGCGCCGCGCAGACATTAGCCTTCGCAGACTGTTTGTTTTTGTGAAGACTGCGTTTTTGTGAAGACTGCAGAGCTAAAAATTTCTGCGCGCCCTCTTCTTGGCGCAGATGTGGACCAGAGTCTTCTAACATCTTCAGACATCTTCTAACCTAAAAAAACATATATATCTTTATTTTTTTAAGTTTTTTTTTTTAATTTATATTTTTTCCAACTTTATTAATTATAAGCAATTTGAAATTTTTTTTTACAAAACTTAAAAAAAAAATCGTTCGTCGATACAAACATGATATTTTTGACAAATTTATAAATAAAGATTTATTACAATAATAGTCGTTGAAGTTGTTTATATAAATATGAAAAAAAAATCATAATATATTCTTATATTTTTTTTGCCAAATTTTGTAAAACATTATTTAATACAGTATCGTCAATTTCTCGAAAAAATATTTATGGTACGTTTTTAATGGATTTAATTGAAAAAATCAAAGTTTATTTTCATCCATTTATGTATCAAATTCTTTGATCACTAATTATAATGTTTTATTTATAACTTTGCAACCAAAGTTGTTGGTTTTATCAAATATATACGTTAATTCATACAATTTTTATTTTTATTTTTTATACAATAATACATAAAAGTTGATCTAGATTCATTAATTAATTTATACAAAGTCATAAAATATAAAAAATCACTTTGAAGTTAAAAAAATCAGTTTTTAGATTTCAGTTTATTTTAGTAGCCCGCAGATGTTTAAAAACAAACAGTCTTCTTTTTTCAGACTGCAGACGTTTGGTCCACCTCTTCTACTGCAGAGGTCTACAGATGTGGTCCGCAGATCGCAGACATTTTGCCTTAGAAAAAACAAACAGCACCTAAGTAAAAGTAATAATAATCCACAATGTTAAATCATGCCATTTCGATGCTCAAGTTTATATTTGACATGAATTCTATATAATGTTTCCCTCTTTTCAGTTTCTCTTGAACCTTTTTCTGTTCCATGAGCCTTAGGTTTGTTATGCTATGTGGGACTGAACAAAAATTTTAGGGTAATTTACGCTACGGTGATTGAGATTGAGGAGGGCGTTTACGGCTTTTATACAAGCAAGAGAGAGATCTATAGACTATATTCCTTGTCCCATCTTTTGGGGTGTTGTTCGGTTTTTGTTCCATTGATATAAGTCTATAAGGCTGTTAACAAACAGGGCTAAGGGTGTCGAGAAATGTGGGAATAGGAAAATGACAATTGCTAAATGCTAATGCCTAATGCCTAATGGTGGTGATAAATTTAACATATGTCACCACATCACATCAAATAATAAGTCTATAGAAAATTGTTCAAAGCATGGAGGAAATAAGCAGGTTTAGGTGACATTAACTATCAACTATTTTTATTTATATGAATATTCCAAATTATACTCATGCTTTGTTTTATATAAATAGTTTTAAATTATGTAACCTTTTAATTTTTAATATATATATATATATATATCTATATATATATATAGATAAGTTTATTTAAATTGGTTCAAAATGACACCTTATTTGTTTTTAAATTTTAGTATATATTTATATCATTAGTTTATATAGATATATAGAAGAAATTTTTTATTATATAAGATATATATCTATAATATATCGATATATATAATATATATAGAGATATATACCACTTGATTCAATTGTTAAGTTATTGCGAAAATTCTGAATTTCGGTCAATAGCTCTTTCTCTCGAATTTAGTCAAGATAATTGGCCTCAAATTTAGTCAGATTTATACAACAAGATATTAGCACATCCTGAAATGTATAACTCAAAATTTAAAGATCTACTTGAAATTAATATAAAAAGATGAATATGAATAATATAATAACAATTATCAAGGATTTATATTAGATCGACTATAATGTCGTGAAATATAATCTAAAAGCATCTAAATAATATAAATAAGATGGTTATAAATGTAAGATTTGAACATATCATTCCATTTGATCAGCAAGTTAGATTTATCTATTTCACGACTAAATATGGAAGATCAAAAAGACAATAATTAAGAAAAAAATTGTCAATCTCATATCTTAAAAAATATTACATTTTATCTAATATTAATATACGATATATTAGTTTTATAAATATAAATATGTAATTTATATTAAAAATAATATGTAAAATAAAGTTATTTCCTTTAAGTAATATAAAAAACAGAATATAACATAATATGTAAAATATAGGAACTATATATGTAAAATTTGTTAACAAATTTATATTTAAAAATAATATGTAAAATCCATCCTTATCATCTATTTCCTACTATTTTTTATTCCGTACCTATAACGCCTTAACTATAAAATTATATGTAAAAGAAGGGACGGTATATGTAAAATTTGCTAATATATGATTGATTATTTATATTTAAAAATATAAAAGATGAAAATCAAAGTTGACGTTGTTATACAACACGAGGGACCATAAATGTAAAATCTATTATACCCTAATGTTTGTTCCTAATGGTAAGTGTCAGATTAGTCAAAGCGGTTTTAACTTTCAAAAATGGTTTTGATCCTACTTTTAGGTGTGAATAACAACACCCAATGGGTGGTGGTGAATATTTCCATCTCTAGACTCTAGTTAAGAGCTGGTGGTTTATGTAGTTAATTTAGCATTTGATATATATATATATATATATATATATATATAGATATATATATATATATATCAAATGCGAAATTAACTACATAAACCACCAGCTCTTAACTAGAGTCTAGAGATGGAAATATTCACCAGCTCTTAACTAAATTAACTACATAAACCACCAGCTCTTAACCAGCTCTTAAATTTGATATATATATATATCAAATGCTAAATTAACTATATATATATATATATATATATATATATATATATATATATATATATATATATATATATATATATTATATATATATTGAACTTTAAGTAGGAACCTAGCTGTTTGTTATTCCTTGGATATCAAGTTAAAGAGAGAGAAAAGAAATGGTTGTTTTACTTTTATAATCGTTTAAGATATATATATTTTTTTAGTTTAGCTCAATGAGAACCCTTTACCTAAGCTTTTCTGTTTTCAAGAGCAACTTGTATATATGCAGTGAATGTTGCTTTGTAAATGACATTGCTTTAACCAAATGGATTTTCCAAAATACAATGCTGTAACACGAAGAAATGAGAAACAAATAAATAAAAGTATGTTGCTTTTGACCCTTCTTTTTGTAAGAGTAACTTGCTTAAGTCTGTATATGTAGTGAAGATTGTTTTTTGTTTTTGGATGGCATTGCTATAATTAGATAGGTTTTCCAAAGTACAATGCTGTAAGAAGTATGCTATAACTAACAACTAAAAAAAAGTATGTCAGGGTTTTTGCATTTAACTCTTGTCTCCATAAGAGTAACCTGTCTGAGTCTGTATATGCAGCAAAGATTGATTTGTATTTGGACAACATTCTTCTCATAAACAAATAAATAATAAAGGACGTTGCTTAACTTTTTTGATGCATTGATATAGAATAGATTTTTCAAAGTATAGAGCTGCAATATTAAGAAATCAAAGTAGGATGCTATAATAAACAAATAAAGAAAAGACAAAATTAAATAAATGATCCCCTGGTTTACCAAAAGTCACAACTTTAGTCCCTGCTAATTTTTTTTTTGACTAACATGATTCCTGTGGTTTCTTAAACTTGCAAGGTTGGTCCATGAACCACATGAAATTGACTTCTTTGCCCTTTTCTTTTCTATTTGTTTCAACTTATTTTAATTAAAAAATAAAATAAAATAGATCTCCTTTCTTTCTTTTTGGTAGGAGCAAACCATCTCCTCTTTCTCTTTCTTCTCTTTATTCCTGAAATGGATGCTCCAACAGTTATCACCTTCTGATTTCTGATTTCTGGGGTGCAAAATCCTCTATGCCCTAGCTTCCTCCTCCCACCTCTCTCCTCTCCAGGATGTGGTCTGAAATCGAACCAGAAACAAAAATTTATTGGCATTTCTTGCATTTACCATTTAACTTGTCGGAATAATTGGATAGATTCTTGGAAGTATAATGTTGTAATTGGAAAAATGGAAGTAGGATACTATAATAAACAAATAGTTAGCTATTACTTATATTTAACACTTCATTTTATAAGAGTAACTTGTCTAGTTGTCTGAATCCGTATATGCAAGCATCACACAGTTGCAAGCGTGCTATAATAATGAAGATTCTTGAAATGACAACTATGTAATAGGAAAGGAAGAAATGAAAGTAGGATGGTGTAATAAACAAACAATTAAAAGTACATTGCTATTTCTTGGGTATACTATTCGTATGTCTCAATAGGGGTGGGAATCGGTTCGGTTTTTTGGTTTTTCGGTTTCCTCAAATCGATTTCTTCGGTTTGAATTTTTTTTTGTTTAATTCGAAAACCGAACCAAATCGAATTCAAACTTTCTAGACCAAACCGAAAACCGAATTCTAATTCGGTTTGGTTCGGTTTGAAAACCAAGGAAACCAAATATTAACTTAAAAATTTTTCAAACATAAATTAAAATGTTTTTAATATAGAAACCTAAAGTTACAAACAGAAAGATCTAAAGTTTCATACAAAATGATCCAAAGAGTAAATGGGTTAAAATTATTTTTACTTTAAAATTAATACTTTTATTTAATATAAAATATAAAATATATTTTTGAATTAATTGATTTATGAAATTCGGTTTTTCGGTTCGGTTTGGTTTAAACTTCATAAGACCGAAACTCGAATCAAAAACCAAATTTACAATTCGGTTTGGTCTCAAACCAAACCAAAAACCGAGTTTGAATATGGTTCGGTCTGAAATCAATTTCGGTTCGATTTGGTTTTCGGGTTTTTCGGTTCCGGACCGAATAATTTCCACCCCTATGTCTCAATCCATGTAGAAATAATGCAGGTATCATGAAATTAAAAGTTCAGTTTGATAGGATAGATCAGGAAGAAATGAAAATAGGATGCTATGGTTATAATAAATACAAAAAAAGTACATTCTTGTATACTATATTTGTAAGAGTGAATCCACATATAAAAATAGAAAAAAAAAGATGAGGAAGGAATGAAAGTAGGATGCTATAATAATAAGAAAGAAAGAAAGAAAGAAGTGACAGAGGTAGAATGGTATGTGTTTCAGATATCGTGCAATTACAAGTGCGTACTACCGAGGAGCAGTAGGAGCACTGCTGGTGTACGACGTGACAAGATATCCGACATTTGAGAACGTGGAGCGGTGGTTAAAGGAGTTGCGGGACCACACGGATCCAAATATCGTGGTGATGCTTATCGGGAACAAATCCGATCTTAGGCACCTGGTGGCTGTACAAACCGATGATGCCAAATCATTTGCGGAAAGGGAATCACTCTATTTCATGGAAACATCTGCTTTAGATGCTACCAATGTGGAGACTGCATTTGCAGAAGTGCTTACACAGATATATCGGATCGTTAGCAAGAAAGCCATGGACGCTGCTCAAGATACTACGCTTCCATCCAAAGGTGACAAGATTGATGTCGGGAAAGAGGTTTCCGCTATCAAGTCCGTTGGCTGTTGTTCCTCTTAATTATTATTTTTTTTGCCAGATTATATCTACTTACTTGATGGGCTGTAGTACGTACAAAAGGTAATGTTTTTTTTTTTTGGATCTAGCAACTGTTGTTTATGCTCTAGTTTTAGATGTTGCAGTTTCATTTGTTTTGCATGGATGATGTGAGTGATGAAACACTTTTTCGTTTTCATTAAGTGCTTTTAAGAAAAGTACTGTCCGAGATATAAACCACCAAACAAATAATATTAATTTCATAAGATAAACCTAAAACTTATTTATTAAAAATAGAGTAAATTACATGAATGGTCCCTATTGTTTGGGGTAATTTGCATGTTGGGTCCCTAACTTATTTTTTTAACTTCGAAGGTCCCTACTGTTTGTTTTTTTACGCATTTGGTCCTTACTGTTTGTTTTTGTTATGCGTTTGATCCCTATCTTACCTAAAAAGACTATTATTTAAACAAGAAAAAATAATGGGGTAGGTAAGATAAGGTGAGGGGGTGGGGTTGGGAATGTGTTTATTTAAATAAATAAAAAAAATCAAGGGAAAAATGGTATTTTTAGGTAAGACAGGGACCAAGCGCGTAACAAAAACAAACAGTAGGGACTTTTCGAGTTAAAAATATAAATTAGGGATCAAATACGCAAATTACCCTAAACCATAGGGACCATTAGTGTAATTTACTCTTAAAAATACATGCCCTGAATCACGTCAAAGGAATAAGATTGCCTTGGAAAGATATGACAACCAAATCATTAAGGGTAAATTATACCATTCGTCCCTCATGCATATGCCAGAAAATACGTTTAATCCCTATTTTCAAAAATTAATTTGGATCGTCCCTCGTTTGTTTAAAACTCGCACATTTCATCCATCTGGACATAAAAAGACCGTTTTGCCCTTATTTATTTAATTTTGATTTATTTATTAATTGTTAATTACTAATCCATTAAAAATATTATTTATTAAATATGTGGGCCATTTGTATTCGGCCATTGGAAAATTTCTTAAGACTACCATCACTACTAGCCTCCGGTCACCACCACCACTAACCTCCGGCGACCGCCACCGCTACCTCTGTTTGGTGGTGGTTGTATCTCCGGTCGCCAGATTTTGATTTTAAGGGGAGATGAGGGACAATGAAAAGTGTGAATGGAGAATTAGGGTATTTGTAGGTAAATGGGGGGGGGGGGGTGATAGGTTTAATTGTTTATAAATTATTAATAAATGTAAATATAAAGGATTAAAATTTATTTTTTGTTTTTCCTATAAAAACAAAATAAAACAGTAAGGACAATATAGTCATTTTATGTTAAGCAAAGGATGAATTGTGCAGATTTAAACTAACGAGGGATGAAACATATAAGTTTAAACCAAACGAGGGACGGTCCGAGTTAATTTTTGAAAACAGGGACTAAACGCTTTCTGGGATATGCACGAGGGACGATTGGTGTAATTTATCATTTAAAACAGATATTTTTGGACTACACTGCAACAAATACAACCTTTGGATAAAAATTTCAGATTCAGTGTTTAACGAGGGACGGAAAATGTTGTTTTACTCTTTATTTAGACTAAACTACAAAAATGATCCATATGCTCTCTAAAAAAGATATGTATTTTACAGATGATTGACTGGATGCATTGTTGGTCTCTATTTCGTTGTTTTATTGTACCTTTGGGCTAGCGGCCGTTAGAAACATCCCCTTAACTCTCATAATATGCCTTGCACATAAGGGCAATATGACCTTTTTCATATTTCTTATATGAAAATAGGGGTGAAAATAGGTCCCAGTCTTGGTCAATCATCGATCGGGAAGAAGTATGGAGGAAGAGAACATGAGTTCAAGAGAGGAAATTTTGCAGACAGTTAAGATGCTTCTATTTGTGGAAGCTACAAATGATAGGTATAAAAAAAAGTGTAAGCGACGTTAATGGACTTAGCTTATTCAGGTCTGACTCAGCCGGCGGACAACATGGGTGACTGCCGAGCCTTTATCTTTTTAAAGGCCCTAAAATTCATATTGTCTATATATTTGTAAAAATATTTTCTTAGAAAAAAAAGATAGACAAAATTTCATGAATAGTCCTTTTGGTTTATTTTTTCCCCTTAAAATGTCCTTTATGATTTATTTATTTATTTATTACTATTATTATTATTATTATTATTATTATTTTTTTTTGCATAAATAGTCCATTTTGACAAAAGTTGGCACGCCAATGGTCCTTATGTATAACGTCTGTTAGAGAGACGTTATGTCCCAATAAGGACCATTTATAAAATATTCTAAAACTTCGTATAAGACCAATTGTGAATCTTCCGAAACTTCGTATAAGGACCATCTGTATTTTTTAAAAAAGTTTATTAAGCTTTGTATTAATTATCATAAATCAAACAAAAAGGCAAAAAAAAAAAAAAACTAGAACATAGAAAATGTAATATTTATATAAATAAAAAATAAAACTTACTAATTTTAATTAAAATACAAAGATATTTTATTTTAATATATAAATAATTGTTGTTATCTAAGCTTTATCTAAAAGTATTTAAACTACTATACATAATTAAATATTTTTGTTTTCTGTTGTTTATTTAAAAATATTTGAAATATAAAAACATCAATTTATATATATTTAATTTTTACGTGATATAATTGGTTTATCTTTATTTTTCTTATATAAATATAGTTATTTTTATAAAAAAAAATTATACGTTATTATAAAAAATATGTTATTATAAAAATAACACTATGTTGCTATTTTGTTTACAAATAAAAATATGTGGTTTTGAATTGAAGGTAAAAGTATGTTTTCGTTTTGGTTTCATAATACAAGTACGTTATTGTCTTCAATTAACAATAAAATCTGTACGATCAATGAATTGTATTGACTTTAAAAATACTAACTGAATTAGAACAAAATAAAATTCAATTTATCGATTTAACTGGTTTGGTTATCAATTAAATGCAAATGACATACGATAAAATTTTTCTTAATTCGATAAAAAATTGATATTTTATTTAATAAAGTTATTTAGTTTTCTCAAACTTTGAATATATTCTTTAATAAAGACATAATCTTTTCAAAGCAAAATTAAAAAACTCTTGTTAGCTAATAATAAAATAGTTAAATATTCACACACGACATGCTAAATAACTAACTCTGTGGAGATAAATATCTCAAATTATATCACGTAAAAGTTAAATGTAGATAAAATGATGTTTTTATACTTCAAATATTTTTAGATAAAAAATAAAAAATAAAATATTTAATTATGTATTGTAGTTTAAATATTTTAGATAAAGTTTAGATATAAAAATTCTTTATATATTAAAAAAAAATATATTTGCATGTTGATTAAAATTAGTATGTTCTAATTTTTATTTATATAAATATTACATTTTTCTAAGTTTTAATTTTTTTTTGCCTTTTTATTTGATTTATGATAATTAATACAAAATTTAATAAACTTTTTAAAATTTCTACAAATGATACTTATGGGGACACTTAACGTCTCTTTATAACAGACATTATACATAAGGACCATTGGCGTGCCAATTTTTGTTGAAAGTGACAATTGATGCAAAAAAATTTCATAATGTAATAGAATTTTTTTAAACTAAAAGGCCCAATCGTGAAATTTTGTCAATCCAAATTAGATGCAGGATTAAAGCCTGGGCAAAAGGGATCACAATTGATTATGATTGACTACTTATTTTGTGAAAATCTAAATCAAAAGGTAGGTGATAGTGACCAAAAGTAGGGAAATCGAATTGTTAACCTATCAAACTAGTGTTATACCCGTCCGTTGGCCGGGTATGGCCGATGTAAAAACAATGGATCAGTTTTACCTTTTTTTTTATATAACATTTTACTTTCATTTGTTTCCATTATAACATTGTACTATGACAAATCTACCCAGTTATAGTTATATCATTCATATAAAGTTATGACAAATCTACCCTATTATAGTTATATCATTCATATAAAGTTGATTTTTTTTTGTAGACAATGCATTAGGAGCGATGTACATTCGTTGATTTGTTTATTATAACATCCTACTTCAAATTTTCTCTATTAATCAGTTAAGCCTATGGTCAAGGGCTTCCTTGGTCTGGGTTTGAGTGTGATCAAGAAGAAAGCTTGAGATTTACAATGTAGATGAAACCAAGACATATAGATGTCTGTATATAATTCGTACCAATGTCCATGCCACCAATCACAATCACCTATTATCCATTGTAAATGATATAGTTTCCATCTTCAAGATTGGTATTTAATAAGTTTTTAATATTTGCATTTAAAAAATCCATAGCAAAATTCACTCCTGATAAAACCTGGTTCTTTCTTTTACCGAAAATACAAGAACATTCACATACTGAATCAACTTGCCTTGCTAAATTAGCCCGACTTACTGAATTAGCTTGACGAAAATGGGAAATCACCAAGTCATTTGGTGTTAGACTTGAAGAATATGATATAGGAAATTACAGTGTACTACTCCAAAGCTCAACAAGGACATTGACCTTTATCAACTTCCAAAGGAATAAACTGGACTTAATGTTTTATTTTGGCTTAGGGTATTCAAAGGAAGTAGTTAACTTGATTTTTGATTCCAGAAAGCAGTTGTCCCATGTAGATGTTTTCCTAGTTTTGTTCACCACATTTTTGCAAATAATTATACTTCATGGATACATAACGGATGAGGGTGGGGGAGGGGGGTATTAAAAGTAATAATGATGTATAAATTCAATAATGTTTAATTCAAGTTTGCTCTGACATTACAATTGTGTTCACAACTTTGCCAAAAGGCTTCTTATTCATTCAATCGAGAAGTTGCAATAAGAAAAAAACACTGTCAGTTTGGGTAAAATAAAAGTACATTGCTTATATTGGATGAAAATAAAGTATTTTGGGTAAAATAATACAATATATTTTCTAACTGAATTGGTTTTTTGAGGAATATAACAAAATAATCATGTAAGAAGAATTGAGAGGCAATACATATACAAAAAGAGAAAATCTCACCCCTCATATTCAGTCGAATAAGTCCGAGAAGCTACCTTGATGTCAACGTAAAGTGACCAACAATTGTTAATATAAAAAAAACATACCTTGAAAAGGGAAGGAAGGTTGCACATAATCTTAACTCGCAAAAAAACCTCCTCTTTACTTGTGTGCATCTTCTGGACCCTTTGTAAGTCCTCAAGTTTACATCTTTTCACATCTTTCTTCTTAGATATAGGTTTTATGACATATTATGGTCCCTTTGATGTGATTGTGTGAGTTGAAGAGATAAAGTTTGCAATTTTATGGTCTTTCTATGTCCCAAGAGCATTATATGTCATAGATCTAGGAATTGGTGGTGATTTGGGAGCTTTGCTTGAAACTTAAGTTATATTGCATCTTTTGACCTAATCATGGAAAAGGACATGCATGGGTTATGCATGTCCATAAAGTTTACATTTTTAGGGTCCATTAGGGTCCCTAAAGTGCTTCTGGAAGTTTTGGGTTGAGGATTTCATGGTTTAAGGGCTTAATGGTTTAAGTCTCATGCATTAAGTTGCCTTTTTAGACTCTAGAACCTAGTTCTAGACTTATAGGGATGTCGTAAGGGATAAAGTTGGGAAATTTACCCATTAAGACCTTGGAAATGACCAAATCTGAGCTTTGGAGCTCTTGAAATCAAAATAAAATGGATTAAGTTCGTTTGAGTTGTTCAGACTGGTCCCCACAGCGAGGCCTTAGGCTTCCATGATGTGGCGACTGGGGAATCATCGATTGTTTTGGAATTTACTGCCCACGACGTGGCCAAGGAAGGCCACAACGTGGAGGCTGCAGATTGACAATTTTGACTTTGCTTTGACCATTGAGTTTTGACCTGATGTATGTTTGATGATTTAAAAATGAAATATTTTATCATTATTTTTGGGTTGTTACATCCTTTTAAAAAATAAGGTTTGGAATTTGATAAGTCTTTAAAATCCCAATTTTAAACTTATATAATTTTAATCCCGAAATTTACCGCTAGCTAATTTTTAAACGATAAAACTCATTTTATTTTTAAAATCTTTTTACCATCTTATGTTAAAAGATAAATTTCTTTAAAACCAAACTCCATGTGATGTTATTTATCTTCAAAATGTTATGTTGCATGTGAAATCTAATTTAACAATTATAAACATAATATCAACATAAATATAAACACTATAAGCATGCAAAACAAATGTGCATAAACCAATCATAAACTAGTGACATTTTGTGAGCCATCATAAAGATGCCAAATCCATTTCTTTAGGGACATTAAGGGACCAAATATCTTGTAATGTCCTCATGCTCCCACTTGCTTCAACACCTTGTATTAAGTTTATAAAAGCAATTTAATAAAGTTTGTGAAACTTTAATAAAATCAAGCTCATAAACGTTTGATCTTCAAAATGGTCACCATCTTCATTCTTGTTAATTTTTTTATAAAAATAAACCATTTCTAAAACTAATCAATTACTTACAAAATTAAAACTATATTTACATATGAATAAATAAATATTACAACTATTTTAACAAATCAACACAAACACATCACAAGAGGTCCATGGCTAGTTTATGTACATCATATATATATATATATATATATATATATATATATATATATATATATATATATACACACACACACACACACACTCA